GCTCGTTCAATGAGTCGACGGCGTCGCTCGTTCCTGGCTGCCCCGTCCACGATTTTGTTGAGCATGCTTTTCTCGCTTTGCCTCACCAACGACCCGGTCCGTTCACAATGGCACCGCGGTGGTGTCTTCTCCATGAGATCTTCGTCCTGGCGACACAGCACTACAGTCATTGGCCATCATGGCAACAGAAAAACAGAAGCATGGCGGTCGGGGTAGAAAATCAACAACAGGGACGCCTCCAGCACACTTCCTGGCCGACGAGAGGTGGGGAGGGGGCCGTGGACGTTCGAAGGAAGCGGGGGGCGGGAGGCAAGGCCAGAGTAGTAAATTGGCCCCGATGGGTGACATTCACTTGGTTGACTGCTCACTCTTGGGGCACCTAATTGCAGGCAGGAGTGGATGCCCCTTCAAGACGATCACGCCCAGAGTCTCTCAGAACCTGTACCTAGCTGATGTTTCCGTCATGCGACCGCTGTATGCATCAGGTCATTTCCATTTTCCCATGCTCGACATCCTTCGGCGTCACCACGATGGCGGCAGTTTGCACTCCCGACGCTTTGTGGCGTCATTTACGTGCGAGCGCTATATGTGCAAACGTGAGTGCGGCATTCGACCCGCGCATTTCCACAAGTCGTGGTTGCCTGCGGTCGATGGTGGTGTTCCGTGCGGAAAAAACGATGCAACTTGTCCCGCATACACACACGATTCAATGACAATTGTAGCCCTGCACTATTGCTCGTGCCCAGTTCACCCCCATCGTCCAGGGGCTGGCCCGTCCTTGATCGCGCATTCCACCACAAGGGTACGTTGTGGAGGGGCAGGGGAAGGTCAAGGGGGGTGGTCCACAGTAACAGGGAACGCCGAACGGAACACGGCGCAATGGACGAGGGATGGATCGCTTGAACTGTGTTTCAATGCCAAACCGCATTTTGTGACAGGCCCCCCGCCCCCGCTCTAGTCGCTACCGGGACGACACACCAAATCCAGATGAAATGGACGGTCGAAAGGTCTTTATAGCACACAGTTCGTGGAGCGGACGGCGCTTTTTATCTCCAGCAGCGACTCATGATCGACGACAGATCCTGTCATAGCTCGTCGTCTTGCATCAATCACGCCAGGCACTGCCAAAGCTAGGTGGGTGGCCCTACCCGTGGCTCCAAACCTCACGGCGCTATGTGGAAACAGCGCAACGTCTTGGTCATCGTCGCATTGTGTGCAGCTCTACTGTGTGGACGACCCTTGGACATCGACCAAGATCGTCATGACCACCCGTCCGAGAAGCCAACACCCCCACGATCGCAGCACAGTACAACTGCACAAGTAGCCACACAACCTGATCACCAACGGTTCGGGTCGACGAGGGTGTCGTCGAGGTGGAGCGCCGCCCAACGACGTCGAGGCAGTGGGTGTACATCATGTCCACTTTTCGCCCGCCACCAAAACGTCGAGTGCGTTAAGCTGTGGACAAGGAATCGAATCAAAGACTCCAGACCCCCTCGGCGGAGTTTGCACGGCTCGAGCTGGCAAGCTCTCCAACTTTGTCCTCTCGACGGGCCTCTGATATGTCATGTGTGGGGCCGGTGGTGCGCACCAGTACCCACCAAACTACCGGTCAGGATGCTCGTGGCGTCCGTCGCGATGGCCTGGTCGCGTAAAGCCGTGGCTACGAATTGCTGCGTTCACACCCAACACACCCACTATGCGGAGAGCATGCTGCATGTGGACTTCCACGTCCCAAGCTTGGCGATCTCGCCAACCAAGCCAGCCCCGCGTGAGTCGTTCCGCCCGCTTCGCACACATATCGGTCGGCAGCGCCGGCGCCTCGATTCCATGGTCGCATGTTTTACCTAGGATCGTCCACGAAGCAATCGTTGGATTGGACTTGGAAAATTAAATCATCGATGCTGCGTTTTGATTCGCTAAAATGCGTCCACGCGTTCGGTCAAAGCACCCGATTCCGATTGCACCACTGCTGGATAATTATAGCCAATCAAAACGCCTAGACTAGCTGGACGATCTTGGGAAATTTCGACGTGGCCGATGACCCACCCGCAGCGACGGCGGCGATTACATTTCGCGGCGAGCCGCGACCTGCCACCCGATGCGTGGGCTTCATGGGGAGGCGTCGCGGCATTGGGTATGCGGCCTCGTGCATGCCAAGACACGAGCGTGCGCGAGCTGCGCCATTGGAAGGACAGGTATCGTGGAATGCACTAGAACAACAAGCGGGAATGCTCTTGTGCCGGAACATGTGCAGAGCTCTCGACGAACGAGCTGTGATCGCACGTCCACAGGCGAGAGTCCCATGATGGGATGTACTACGTACTGGCATGCCTTTCCACGTACACCCTGCGATGGCTAGCCAAGTCACATGTGGGACTCGCGACGGTCGGGACATAACCAGGCAAAATCCCGAGGGAGCGAGCTTTGCACACGGCGCCCCACCGTCATGGTGTATCAGGTCGGGTCTTTACCCCACGACGTCGAGTTTGACCGAGCGGCGTCCTTGCGACACGAACCAGCCATGCAGCATGCCTGTTGACAGTGCCAACCCATCCGGGGCCGCTTTCCCATGCCAGCAACGCGTGCTCGACGTCCGAGTGACGTGACCCATCTGGTGGTGGGTTCTTCGCCTTGAAACGTTGCGCAATGCGGCGGTCCTATAGACACACAAATGGTACGACGTCGCACGCCTGGACAGGACGCTAATGTTCTAAGAGCGACCGACGGCGACGGAGCTCGCGAGCTTTGTCGATGGCGTCGGGTCGAACGTTGGTCCGTCCTGAAACCTTGTTGCAAACAGCGGGCTCGACGGCGAGTCCAGGCGCGCGGCCCGAGCCATTCGTCGCCGCCGCTCCCTTCAACCCCTGTCTCATGCCCAACGTTCCACTGTAGTCGTCACTGTGGAATGCGAGTTGTGTTTTGGCGATGGGCAACCCAGACGGTCGGCGGGCCAATCGAGGCGAGACGGTGTTCGACGGCTGTTTGTGCAGCACGGTCGTCGCGAGGAGCTGCTCCTGTGTACTCAGCTGCCGCCGCCGACGACAGGATCCAAGCAAGGCGTGTGTATGGGGGGGCGCGTCGTCGGCCCGTCGCCACCCCCCCCGTCGTCGTGGCCGCCCCCATGATCCACTCGACGGCACGATTCCAACTGTTGCGGCGGCGACCGAGGTCAATTACGCCGCCTGCCTGTCGGCCGCACAGTGGCACCGACTGGTGTACTCGTTCGTGAGGGCGAACCAAGCTGGCGTTGGTCTCGATTTCTGCCGCGCTGCATGTTTTTGATAGAGGTTGAGCGAGTCGAGTCACTTTTGCACTTGCCATTGTTGGAACATCGTGCGCGGGTGGACTCACACAGGATGCTCAACACAACGCCCCACCAAGACACAAAGCTCGCGACGGACCCCGTCAAGGCGAACGACCGGTGGCCTCGCCGCACCGCGAGCGCATCGTCCGATGACGTGAGCGACGACGATGCCGTCGAGTCGCAGTCGGTCAGCTCCAACGACGACATCATGGCGCCGACCGAGCACGACGGCAAAGGTCGCTGGACCAAAGCCGAACACGAACGGTTCATGCGTGCAGTGTCCATGTACCCGTGCGGCCCATGGAAGCACATTGGCGCGGTCGTCAAGACCCGATCGATTCGCCAGATTCAAACACACGCGCAAAAGCTGCGCGAAAAAGCAGCTCGCCACGACCGCGGCCTCAAAATTAAGATCAAGGATCCCATCGCGGTCACGCTTCCGCCGTACTTTTTGGCTCGGGACCGCAGCTCCAACTCGCGTGTCCTGGGCCCACCAGCCAAAGCTGTCACGCCGTCCCCCTCCACACACAACGCGCCGGACCTCCTTCCGCTCGACGACTGCCTCGACTTCTTCCTCCAAGTCATGGACGAAGAAGAAAAGGTCGTGGTCGTGTGAGCGAGCCCACTCGTCGCCACGTCGCAAGCCCACGTCCTCGCCGTCCGTCCAGTAAATATTTAATTCACGAACTGTGCATGCATGCATCCCACGAGAGGATTCTCCGACAACGCGACTGCCATGGCATCGAAGGCACGTTGCCTTGGACGGCAGGCGTGCCCGCCATGACGCTTGGTCGCAGGAGATGGCCTCGCGCTGTCTGGTGTCGCCATGTCGGCTCGATTTCAACGACGTAGACAGCCCGGTGTCTCGAGTCGTTAGCGAATTTTGCGATATCGGCGGCCGAATCGTGAGTGTGGGTGTCGGCGGGGGCTGGCACTGCCGTGACGAGCGGTGGAGACACCGCGCAAGTATGCACACCACTGTGCATTCCCCATGTCGCCATCCTGTCAAACACGGCCCTCCTCCATGGCTGGCGGCGCGAGTGCGACCAACTCGGCAACCTGGCGCGACCTCACCCACCTCCAACCACACAAATCAGCAGCATTTCCCCCTTGTACCACGATGCGTGACGTGAATCCGTCGGGGAAATGCGGCTGGATTTTACTGAGATTCAGTAGGTCGCTGCGGGACGGCGGCCACCTCGGAAGGACCGCTACGCACCAACGTCCATGTCGGTACATTGACGCACAAGCCCCTTGTGGTCGTCCCACGACGCCTTGAATCGTACGCCACCGTCGATGCCACGATTGTACAAGGGGGAGTGGTGGATTGGGATGGCGCGTGAAGCAGCGAATCGAGTCACACCCGTCGCCCCCCTTCAGCCGGGCTGGCTGGACGGCGCGTCGTTGTCGGGACGGAGACATCGATCAAGGGCGCCGCCGCGGCGACGGTTCTAATGACCAAATACGGACAACCTCTGTTCTCAGGCTGGGCGAGCCAGGCCACCGCTACTCACTCGTTACGCCGCGCTGCCGCGTGTGTGGTGCCGACAAAGTTGGCCTGATTCATGCTGTCGGCACCCCAGGAGATCGAACGTTGTGGCTCTTTTTCAACACCGATGGCGGCATCCATTCGCGCTGCAGCGGCCACCTCTTGGAACGCGCGCTGTTCCTAGAGGTGGCCGCTGCAACGCGAATCGGTAGTAGAGGAGTCCACAGGGCGGTGACGTGGCGTCGTATTGTCTCTCGCATGAGTCATCATCCGCGGCCAACGGCGGCTCGGTCTTTGTCTGCGACATCTCGACACTCGCGCGAACTTTTTGGCGACTGGCGAGCTCGATCATCGGCACTGTGACCTCACACGGACACGATGTCCGAGACCTTCACACCCCTCGCTTCGACGTTGCAATCATGATGTGCTGCGTCGTGCAGTCTCACGCAATCAACGAGTCCCAGCGCAACTCGACTTGCCACGTAGCACGATTCGCTCGGTCGGGACGGTGGACCGCCCATAGCTCATTTGTGCCATGGCTATCGTCCTGGACCGGAAAACATGCTGATCCTTGAAAAGTTCCTCGCGCTGCATGTTTGTTACACGCGTACAGGACGACCGACAGGAAACGTGGTGAAAAGTCCAATTGGCTCCATGCGGAGCGACCACCACGTCCGGCCGCCGCCCACCGACTCGTTGCTGTGGAGCGGCGCCCCTGCATCTTGGACTATAGACGACGACAGGGATGACGCGAGCTTGCTGTCGCCCGGCAGCGATCCCAGACGTCGCCACGGCGACCGGACAGGCCGGTGGACAGCGGCCGAGCGACATCGATTCATGCAAGCTGTGCAAATGTTTCCGTGCGGTCCGTGGAAGCACGTCCGCGCAGTCGTCAAGACGCGGTCCATTCGACAGATACAAACCCACGCGCAAAAGTTGCGGGAAAAGGCTGCGCGCCACGACCGTGGGCTTAAAATCAACGTTCGCGACCACACCACGGTCCAGTTGCCACCATTCTTTATGTCGAGGGGGCGTGGGGCAGCCAGAACGACATGTCTTCCCGTGGCACCGACGGCTCCGCCGGCGCATGACAAGGACCAAGAAGGGCCATCGCCCAACGACGTGCCGCTGCTGGACGACTGTCTCGACTTTTTCATCCAACTCATGCCAGCCAGCCACGAGCCAGAGGCTGCCATGCCGCCCTGACACAAGGATTACGCGCATCCGGGAGGCGCAGCCGCGTGCGTCCTCCATACGGCATCGACGTTCAATGCACCCTTTTCCTCCCCCTTTGTTTTGTTTGACGGGAACGGACGAAACCAACGACATCCCACGTCAAGGGTCGCCCACCCCCGTGACTTGCCACGAAACGTTGCGGGGCCGCGCGCCGATCATGGTGGGATCGTTGCCCCGGGATATCTGGGACCGGAACGCAAGCGATCGAGGGCATGACCACGTGACGAGGTGTGGGACAAGCTGTGCTCGTCTCAACATATAGCAACGGAGCGACGGCGAATGGCGCACGGTGCCACTGGGTCTTGTCCGAGTCGCAAAGGCTGCGCGCGAGCCCGTTGCCATGCGGTGGGGCATGCTTGGTGTCGCTCCTGCCGTCGGATATGAGACGGGTGGTCAAGTATGCGTGGTTCGATTCGTAACAGGGCTCGAGCCACCGTGACACGCGCGCCATGTGCGCCTCTCTACCTCGGTGGTCATTACAATCCAGCGTCATTCCGCTACGTCAATATCCTACTGTGTGAAGGTGACCGCAGCAGGTCATGACGTGGCAGAGTGTAGACGCAGTACGGTCGAATCCACCTGTTGCCGAAGCGCTATTGTGGCTGCCCACAATCACCTGGCAGACACAGCCAGCACAGACCTCGTGCTTGTAGAGTGTCATTGTCGGCGTCGAGAGAAAGGAAGGGGGGGGGGTCGGCAACTTGTGCAACCAGAGGCGAACAGGAAGTACTAGAAGCCACGTTCGAGCTGGGAGAACGATCCGAACGACGCATGCGGCGAACGTGATCTTCGGTTTGCGTTGCAGGCAAGGATGCCAGGACAACACTTGATAGAGGAGGCTGGTAATGGTGCTGGAGTTGAGGGCGCCGCATGCGCACACCTGTCAGGCCATCAGCACCATTGTGTTGCCGTTCGATGGCAGCGCGGCAACTTCCTTGTCGCCGTTTGAGCCTTGGGTGGGCGACGCATGTGCTTTGGTCGCAACCTACCGCGCATGATTTACTCCGTCGTCGCCACGAATACGACGGGCAGATCTCATCCCTGCTCACCAAAAACGAGTGGACCGTGGCCGGTCGAGGAGAACTCGACGTTTTCTCAAGTAGCGTGCTTTTTCACGACGTGCGGCTTCGACTTCACCTCCTTGATCGCGTTCAACCAAAGCTCTGAATGGCGATCTGTCGGCAAGCACGCTTGATGATCCTTTCAGCGGGCCGAAACATCGCAAATGCCATCTTCTACTCTCACGCCATACCTTCAGTACATGTAGCTACGACGCCCCTGCTACCCCCCACGAGTGCAACATCGTGGGCGCGGCGTCATCGCAGCCCCTCACAGGGGACAATGCTGTTGACAAAAGCGAGATTGAAGCCTCGTACGTTAAGCCACGTCACGAACCATCGCTTCGTACACAAACGCTGAGATGTTTGATGGTACGACGCTCCACCAACGACGTTTCATGTGCCTGGCCGCCCGCGCCACGCGGCAAGCGAATCTATCCGCTTTCGTCCCACGACGACAAGCACAGGCCGCACGCCGCAACATCGATGGCGCACAGGGCCAGCCCCCACCGCAGCCTGTCTACTGCCGTTCGTGGAGCAGCTCGCGACATGTTGCTCCGAGAAAAGAAGCAGCTAGCCAGTGTCTTGATGCAGTGACCCGATTCGTTTACTCCTACGGTTGCGAACACCCAGCACGACTCGCATCTGCCTTCGTGGTGCACAGCGTACACTTGCAGCATCGTGACTTGGTTTTTCCAGTCCATGGTGGCGTCGAGGTTAGCCAGCGCAACTGCTGAGACCTTGATCGTTAGCAGACGCTGGCGCTCGTCCGCGAGGGTTGACGTGTGTGATGGACACGACCGACTGCATTTGGCCATAACACGCGAATACCCTCGTGCTTGCTCGTTCTGGCCAAATGCCGGGGAACGACAGACCATTCGAGAAATGGAGACTCGGAAGTGCAGATGTGCATCTGCACGCGTTGCCATGATTCAAGGCGACAGAGCCACAACTGGGGTCTCTTTCGTACCGTCGGGACACTGGCAGGTAGCCCGCAGGCCGCTCCCAGACGAGCGAAAGAAGGATCGAGCTTGCTCGAAAGGTTGTGCTGGTCACGGCTGCTGAAGCGTTGCTGTAGAAAGGTTTCAAGGGGTGGTGTGCCAGTGTGACAGGTCAAGAAAGCAATCGTCCCCATGTTGTTTTTGGTTGTTGTCTCGCGATCGTGTCGCTTTCAGATGTCGGTGGCAACGACAATTTCAAGGCGTTAGCTAGACGTGTCGTCGGACGAGGACAGTTTGTGTCATTGCTAGCTACCAAGGTCGTGCTGGGAGTTCTCGTCGGTGGTGGGCGTGTTCGAGGCGACGAACGGCATCACGACCGGCAAGCTCTGCGAGCTGTCCGAGCTACAGCGGGTCAGCTGCATCACGAAAGACGGCTGCAATCCCAGCTTCCCGTCGGTCGCCATCGGCAAAGCGTTGTACTTGGGGTCCGCGTACCCGTACACGCTGGGCAGCTCCGGCCAGACGGGCGCGTCCAAGACTAGGTGAGCCTGTCCATTGGCACCAGCCCGCGCGACTCGGGCAACAAGGACGTGGCCGCCGCGCTCAACAGGCAGCCTCTGTAAGTGTATCGACGCCGGCAACTTTGTGTCCCTATCGCGGCGGCGTCTGCTCATGCCAGTCTGACCACGCCGTCAAAGTGGCGAACTACTTCAAAGAGTGCGCGCTGTGCGAGGCGATGATGTCTATGCATGTTGCCTGGGTCGCGTCGCCCAGCCATGAACCGAGTGACGTTGTGTGAAGCCGTCGTTCCAAACGAATGCTGCATCGTGGTACGCACGACATATACACAGGAAGGACCAACGTAGGTGCGAGCCCGCGCCGACGACATGCTTTGGCTGCTGGACGTTCGCTTCAAGTACAGATATAGCCGCCCCAGCCATCGCCCCCAGCATTTGTCTTGAACGCGTTGCTATCGTGGCGGACGGCATGGCCAGAACACGAGCATGCCATCCAACACGGGTTCGCCACGGTTGCAAACCGCGTCATCTTCAGCACAGAGATTATCGAACGCTGCTTTCATCGTAGGCCAGACGTGAACAGGAGCACGACATGAAGTCTGCTTGCCGCTTCGGTCTCATGTGGTTCGATGTCTTGCCACAACGTTTGGCTGGCCATCGAGTGACCAAGCCCGATGTCCCAAGAAGAACTCGTTGCGCGAGTTAGACGAAGGACGAGGATATCCCCAGACGTCAACCCCCTCCGCCCACAAGGCGCGCGCGCGTTGGCCGAGAGTCGAGAGGGGTTGTTTTGCCGACAGCAACAGGTCGATTGTGCTGTTCCAAGGACGACAGAGAAGACGGGAGGCATGCTCCGATGATAAACGCTCGAACGGGGGATGGCGTTGCAGGATGGGAAAATCGCAAGCGCGGGCGTGTTTGGATTCATGTTAATACGACTGGTTGCCGACGCGCATGGTACCGACGGCGGCCGAGACGGCGACGTTGTTCCGATGGCGGAGGGCCTGGTACCGGCACAGAAAGTCGTCAATGTTGACATAAGTGCCCTGAAGATGGCGGACGCCGTCTGACACGGACTCGAACGCTTCTCGGCCGTGCAACATCCTACAACAAGCCCCGCCTCGTTGCCTGACGTGCGCCGACAGCACGACGTCCTTACCGGCGCTGGTTGAAAATGACCAAATCCCCTTGGCCGAGCTTGAACTCGATCACGTTTTCTTGCACAATCGCGTCGAATGCTCGGTATGCCGCATAGTACGCCGCCATGTCGGCCGGGGGAATGCGGGTCGGCGGTCCCTCAAACGGCGGGCTCCAGAACACCGCTGTCACCTGCTACATACCAACTCGGTGACCGTCGTCCATGCATGCAACTCCCAGCGGAAAAGATTGCGTCCGACCTCGTCGCGGTGGTTTACTGCGATGTGCGGCCGATGGTACTCCATGATGGCGGGGGTCTTGCGGTCGGTGTGAATCTTCTGGAACGTAGCCGGCACGCGAGCCAGCACTTGAAAGTGGTCAGGATGGCGCTGGCGGAATGTTTCAGCGGCGTCAAACGTGTCTCGAAAAGTCGAGTGGCCTACATCGATGCTGACAATGCCACGACCGTGCATGCCCCTTACCGCCTTGAACAGAGGCATCGTAGCGAAGGGCATGGAGCAGCTGAAGGCCCGGAGGCGACTCGTAGTATGCCAAGTCCAAGTGAAGCTTGAGACGTGCCGAAGTGTACGCAATGTTGACCTAATGCAAAGTTGACGGCGTCGACCGACGACGCGAACAAGAGCTGCCGACGTACGGGGTTATGCTCGGCCACAACATCAAACACAGATCCGTACAGGTGAGTGTGCGAGATCGGAGCGATGCGCTCGGCAACGAGCCGGACGGTGCCTGAGGTACTGGGCACGTTTCGCACAATTGCGAGCCCATCTCGATGGATGTGCTCGCACAGCGCAAATACACCGTCGTCACAGGAAAGCGCGGTGAATTCTACCGACGATACTGGCGTGGTGGAGCTGCGCACAACACGCATAGTGTAAGGGCTCGGCGAGACATGGCCCGTACGTACGGCAGCGCACGCGGGGACGAGTTGGAGGCAGGGGCGGAAACGAGCTGGCGAATGGTCGCCGACGAGAAATGCGTCGCGTGAGGCAGTGCGTCAGCTTGGGGGCCAGTTGCCCACTTGATATGGACGCCAGCATTGTCGGGTGCAACTGTGTTTCAATGAAAGCACGATGAATCCGAGATGGGGCATGGCAGCGCGTTCATGTACCTTGGACTGATGCCACTCGCGGCGCCGGTGGGGCGTCGGTGATGTTGAGAAGCCGTTGGCCTGTGCTATGTTGGCACTGAGGGCACGTGCACCACGCTCGAAGATGGAACAAGTCAACCGACGACCGATGCCCGTCGGCCCACGTCACGTCTAGCTTGTCCGCACTCGTCGTGGCATTCACAACCTGCACAACACTCTAACGTACGTGTGTGCATGCTGAAATGGTCGTACTTGAAGTGAGGAGGCGGGGCGGCAATGGATTGCCCAATGAATGCCGGCGCAGCGCCGCATCGAGCTCACGTGCCGTCGCCACATTGTTGCCCAATGTAACTTAATTCGAATCCTTTCCAAGGGAGGAGGTAAAATCCACAACCATTGGATAAAATATTTAAAAAATATTGCATGGATAAAATCGACGAACGCATACAGTATCGCAACAACGTCCGCGTGAGGCGGCATCGGTGGCGTCCAAGTGGGAGAGACTGCTCATGTCATACCCTCGTACAGCCTCTTGACAGCTTGAAAAGCAATATACACACTCTCGAGCTTCGCATGGAGATGCGGCGAGTGTCGCCGCATCGACTGAGGTTGTACTGCCTGGCATGTACTACAGACCTTGGATCGACACGAAATAAGACAAGAGCAAGAATGTCGAGATCTGAGCTGTTGGTCTGCTCGTGGCGCATGTCCACGTTTTATCCGCCAGGGGAGATGTCGACGAGAAGCTCGTCGGTAATCGTCGCATGCGGGCTGTGTGATCATATCGCAGAAGGCCATGCTTGTGAGTGCTGGGTAAGGAGCGGCTTTATTCGCGTTAACCGTCATGGAAGGCTCCTTGGCGTAGGCAACAGAAAGTGAAGGGTCTCGAGGGACTGTATCATGGGCCCGGAGAGATGAAGCGTTGTTCACCGCTGGTAAGCGGGTGCTTGACAGATCAACTCCGACATCTCAAAGGCTGCCTTGGCCAACGCGACCGGTCTTGTACGACAACCCCGCGAATATGACACGTTTTAAGGAACATACAACTTCGATCATAGGAAATGCGACGGTTCTCCCGCTTCTCTTTGGCGGTCATGGGTTACCTCGATCAGGCACTGACGGGGTGAATGGCTTGGCAGCTCTTTTCGACGAGGATACAACAGTCGTCGCTGTAGTCGCCGGAAGTGGGGCTGTTGCCCTAAGCATTCAACCCATGTTGCGCTACATCCTACGCTCACATCCGTCCCGAGTCACCCCAGCGATGCGACAGGCCATGGACGCTCCCATCACGGCCCTTGAACTGTATCTCGCCATTGACAAGGCGCACAACAATCCCGCGGTTTGGCCCTGACGGTATTCCTGCGGAAGACTTCAAACTATTCTCATCAAAGTGGGCACATTTCCTCGAGGTCTATCTATGTGTTGAATTTCGCTCAAAGCCGCACGTCCAAGTTCCAACGACGTGCCTCCCTAGCGCTATTGTACAAGGCAGGCGATCGTATGGATGTATCCAACTACAGTGTACTAGTACCGCCCACTGACCATGCTGAACGTCTCCGCAAAGCAGGGTCCCCCAGTTATCACCCACCCATCGGCTCAACCAACTCCTGCCGAAACTCCTCGGGGAAAATCAAAATGGGTTCACACCCACGCGATCCATCCATCAGACCCTTTTGCGTTCCAATCACTCGAACGCCTTTGCCAGCGAAAGTCCCCCTCCTCAGACGCTGTCATGTTGAATATTGCCATAGCCTTCGACTCGGTCTGTCGTCCGGGGTTGAATCTTATTCTCACCCATCACGGCTTCGGCATCCGCTTTCTGAACGTTGTCAACACGTTCTTCCACGGCACCCTCGTCTCCGTAATGTTCAACGACAAACCACTCGCTCCTTCCCAACTTGGCTCTGGCGTACTTCAAGGTGGCCCCACCTCCCCGGCGCTGTTTGTCTTGTTCATCGAGCCCTTGCTAAGTTTCTTTGGACAAACCGAATTGAGTTTCACTTCAAAATTCAAACTTGCCAGGTACCTCTTCTTTTTAATCCTTCTTGGAATTTCAATCAATCCTTCAGAGTACAAAGGATATTAACTTTGGTAGACTGCAAAAATCGAGCCATGCATCATTTGCCCAAGGTCGACGGCAATACTGGAAAATGAAGAATTCATTATGCTAGGATTGACTTTCTAGCACGAAGAGCTCAAAGGACTGACGAAGTACTAAGTACTTGGATTTGGTACGATAACTTGGTGCTTGAAGTACTGGCGAGTAGCAGAGAACAATCTTGGAGCGTCAACCTCATCAAACGCACGAGAACCAACAGCTGCTGTACTTGAGTCGGAGGTGGATGAGATGCGAGTGGCCTTGATTGATGATGATGATGATCGTGTTACGTAGTTTATACAGACAAACTAGCTGGGAATGCAGAAGGTCCTTAGCCAGGGTCGAGCGTGAGGTCCAGATCAATGTAGGGTGGGGATGTGAGTTAGCGCGAGAGGCTTCACGTCCGGTCGGGTTCCAAAATCGCATGCGGAATCCGGCGCCAGTTTGGAGAGGAAGTCGGCTACCTGATTTTTGTCTCGCGTGCGGTGATGGAACTCACAGTGGAACTGGGAAGACAGTTCGCGGGCCTGCATGTACTGTTTGCGGAGGCCTGGGTGTCGGATGCGGTTCAGGCCGCGCATTTGTTGCAGAAGTAGGTGACTGTCGCCACACACCCGAAGCGAGTCAAAACCTTGGGTGCTCGCCAACCGCAATGCTTCGATCAGACCGTCGTATTCCGCTTGGTTGTTGGTGGTAGGAGTTGGAATGTAGTGGGCGAGATACTCGCTTGCCAGGGGGTCAGCCGCGGGCATCGAAATGGCGCCAGAACCACCGCACCCGACGTCCATGCGGGCCGCTCCATCAAACAGGAGCAATCCCCATGAGGGGGGTTGTATTTGAGTGGAGGGCCCAGACCGCCCATATGTATCGACTCGCTGGCATCGCTTGGCAAGGTAGCCATACACAGCGGCGCGGAGGGAGTGTCGACGCCTGGCGTGGTAGGTGGAAAGGGCAGCGAAGTGTCCTTCGGCCAACACGTTCAAGCTCGGCAAGGCGAGCGGTGTAGCGTCTAGCGCTCGGGCTGCTGCCCAACGGTCGTGCCACAAGGAGCGCATGGCCAATGAGCGTAGCAACAACCATCCCTCGTGACAGATGTGATCGAACGCGGTGCCGTGTGTACGCCACTCTGGGGCTGCTATGCACC